GGAGATGGGTGCATAGTTATCCTCATTTCCTAGATGGGGAACTGAGGCACAGGGCGGCTAAGGTCAAAACTTCCCACTAATTTTGGTGCCCAATTTGAGACACTGGTATCTGGTTTTTCAGAGTGCTTAGCATTATAGAGCACTGTTTATGTTCAAAGCATCGCTCTCGGTGACTTCAGTTCAGCTCTGAGCACTGCAGACCCAACCATCTCACACCAGACACCCAAAAAAATGAGGAATACAGTTAGTGGCCACATGTGAAAAGTCTGGTTTCAATGACTTGCCCCGTGTAACAGTAAAGTACTTCGTGGCTCAGGCAGGGACAGAATCCAATTCTCCAGGGCAGCATTCAACTCCCTTAACCGTGAGTTAAAGGGGAGACTACCACGGGCAGTACTGAAAGGTGAAGGGTCAGGCTGGAGGGAGTGGAGTTACTAGTGGAGTTCCTCAGGGATTGGTCTTGGGACCAATCTTAATTTAACATTTTCATTCATGGCCTCGGCACAAAAAGTGGGAGCATGCTACTGAAATCTGTGGATGACACACAGTTGGGAGGCACCGACAATACAGAGGACGACCAGGATATCACGCAAGAGGATCTGGAAGACCTTGAAAACTAGTGTAATAGAAATGGGATGAAATTTAATAGTGCAAAGTGCAAGATCATGCAGTTAGGGACTAACAACAAGAATTGATGTTAGAAACTGGGGGCATATCACTTGCAAGAGGCAGAGGAAGAGACCTGACTGTACTGGTTGAGCACAGGATGGCTATGAGCCGCCAATGTGATCTGGCTGTGGAAAAAGGCTAATGCAATCCTAGGAGGAAACAGGCGAGGTATTGCCATTATACAAGGCACTAGTGAGACGTTATCTGGATTACTGTGTGCAGTTCTGGTTTCCCCATGTTTAAAAGGGATGAATTCAAACTGGAACAGGTGCAGAGAAGAGCTATTGGGATGAACCGAGAAATGGAAAACCTACCTTAGGAGAAGTGGCGCAAGGAGCTTGGCTTGTTTAGCCTAACCAAACAAATGCTGAGGGGAGAGGTGATTGTTCCCTATAAATACATCAGAGAGACAGACAGCAGGGTTACCTAAGTAAAGGACCACTTGGCACAAGAACAGATAGATCCAAACTGGCCGTCAACAAGTTTAGGCTTGAAATTAGAAATCAGAGGAGTGAATGTCTGGAACAGCCCCCCAAGGGGAGCAGAGGGGGCAAAAAATGTAACTGGCATCAAGACTGAGCTCGATTATGGAGCTGATGGTATGATGGCACTGCCTACAATGGCGTGTGCCCTATCTGTGACTGATAGCAGCAAATATCCCCTAACAGCCAGAGATGGGGCACTCCTTGAAGAGGGCTGAGAGTTACTAGATAATTCTTTCCAGGTGTCTGGCTGGTGGGTCTTGCCCACATGCTCAAGGTCTACCTGATCACCATACCTGGGGTCAGGATGGAATTTTCCTCTACGTCTGATTGGCAGAGAAACTAGGGATTTTTCACCTTCCTCTGAAGTGTGGGGCACGGGTCACTTGCAGGTTTAACCTGGTGTCAATAGTGCATCCTCTGTAACTTGAAGTCTTTAAATCATGGTTTGAGGACGTCAGTAACTCAGCGAGAGGTTAGGCATCTATTACAGGAGTGGGTGGGAGAGATACTGTGGCCTGCGGTCAGATTAGATGATCATGATGGTCCTTTCCAGACTTAAGGCTGAGACCATCCTTTCTTTTCCTGAAATTCCCTGCTTCATTCACTACACACCTTCCAACTTGTGCAACAAATGAGGCTGATGTGTCTGCCTCCTTCCCTACACCTGTGATTTATCCCCAGAGCAGGTCCATTCTGCACACTGAATGAGGCAGGGTCCTGCGGAAAGAAATAGTATGTGATCATGTAATTGAAGACTGTATCATAATGCATATGCCCAAGAGGGCAGAGTTAAGGTTCCATGGGCAACCTTATTCTGGCATTTACTGGGTTTTGAGTGCTTGACTTTGCAACCTTAATGTTCTTTTAATGTAGCTTGTGTGTGCGCGCGTGTGTATAATTTCCTAGGTATTTAAAAGAGCAAACAGAAACAGTCCCCCCTCGAAATTCCATCATATGGCATCATAGTGACATTGGCATGGTTCATCAGTAGGGCTAGAACCTGTATATCCACCACAGACCTCTGCCACTTAAACTAACGGAGTAACTGATAGCAGTAGTGGGTTGTCACCTTCCACCTGGCCCAGCACTAGAGAGGGTGTCACACTTTGCCAGTGGGTTTCACAGATATTCAGACAGCAGACGAGTGGTGAGACTCTAAGATCTTGGGTTCCATTCCACACTCCGTAGAGACGTGTGCTGTAGTGCACAGACTCTTCAGCCCATTCTCCCTAAGTTTGTCTCTTCCACAACCCTGGCTCCTTGTCCCCAGTTCATTCCCCTTGCCTCTCCAGTCACAGTCACTACTCTTCAAGTTTCTCATCCCAGTCCCAAAGCCCAACAAATCACAGCTCCCCCTCCTCCAGCTCCGTTTCCTTATCTTAGCCAGCCTCAATACCCCTCCTAGCACCTCATCTCTTCCCCTGCCACTGACAGACTTCCTCCAAATCCAATCTCAATCATCTCCCCAAACCCCTACCCAGCTCTTGGTTCCAGTCTCTTTGAACAGCAAATCCCAGTTCTCTCATCTCAGCTCTCTTCTCTCCCTTCCCACTAGTTCCTAGTTCCAGTCTGCTTATCCAGCCAGCAATTCCACCCCTTGCCAAGTCATCTGATCCGTCTTGTCCCCCCATTTACCACACTGGCTCCCCAGTCTCCTTGCACAAGCATCCCTCCCAGACTCCTGGTTCCAATCTACTTTTCATCTCGCTTTTGTCCCCTCTTCATTCAGATCAGACAGCTGCTACACGCAGGGGGATCATTGAGGGCACAGGAGAGAGGCTCCCTGCTCTCAGTTCCAGTGCCCAGCCTGGAGCAGATGGGAATAATCTTTACAGGAAATCCTGTACTGGATCGTGTTCAGTCACTTGGGGAGCTGGTGCACAGGCAGTCCAGTAGGAGCGGAGAGGCGGGAACAAGCTCGATTGCTCGGTGGAGACGGCACAAGTCCGCTCAGTGAGGATGGAATCTTGAAACAACTGCTAAAAGCAAAGAAATCTCTGCCAGGCATGTGCAAACTGCCATTTCCCCAAAGGTTTACATAACTTGGCCGAATTTGGATTTTCACAATAACGGCGTAAAGGTCCATCCTTTCCACAACACTGCGGTTACCTGCCTGGCGTAGTTCAAGTGTCTGCTCCAAAACAGGGAGGTCCTAGAGCTTTTCAAAGGAATGGTGTCAGAATTTATGAACACGGGCAAAACAACGTATTTCCCTCTTGCTTTGTTCTAAGAAAGGGCTGAATCATTTTGGCTGAAATTTTCCAAACATTTCAGCCTGAGGCAGACCGCTGTCACTGCCTCCTCCTCTATAGAGCCACAAGGCAACTCTGCTCTCTTATCTACCCTCTCCCGCAATGCACGAGATCTTTGCCTTTAACCTTAGCTACCCCCTTGTCCTGACAATACTCAGGTGCATATTTAGGGATCTCCAGTGACTCCTAGTGAGTTCATTACTGGATACAGTCTTGTTCTCCTGGCCACACTTAAAAAAGGATCCTGAAAAATCTGAATGGTTCAGAAAAGAGCTACAAGAATGATTTGAGGCCTGGAAAACCTGCCTTTACACCTTACAGCGTATGACCCAAGAAGATCAATCCATTTAGATCAGAGAAGATTAAGAGGTGACTCGCTCAGTCTGTCAGTACCTGCCTGGGGAAAAGGGCTCTTCAATCTAGCAGACAAAGACAGCACAAGATCCAATGGCTGGAAGCAGCCTGGAAATGAGGCACACATTTTAACACAGAGGAGAATTAATCACTGGAACTTACCTAGGGATGTGGTGGATGCGCTAATATTTGGAGTCTTTAAATCTAAAAGATAAGCCTTAGCTGAGCCAGCCGTTATGGGTTTAATGCAGGAAAAGGCAGGATTATACAGAAAATCAAATTAGATAAACACAATGGCCCCACCAATCTATAAATCCTCCCGGACTGCCCTCTAGGCCTCTCTGACCAACATAGCTGTGGCTTTATATCATTTCAGTTAAATGTCCCAAACCCCAAAAAGCTGCTCTTGGGCAGGTGCCTCCCCAAGCCAAACTCCATCCTCTCATGTATCTCTGGCTGCCATCATGGTCTCCAGTCCTGACATCATCTTCACCCACATTTGCACCCTGGCTGAACAGGATCTCATTCACAATGGTCTCAACTACACTGTATCAGGCCTCTCTCCTCTTGCCTGAACTATAGCAATTTCCTCTTCCAAGGCCTCTGTAAGTCCCAGTACCTCAGATTCCAGCATATGCAGAGTGCTTCTGCCCCTTTCTCCTCAAATACAAAGAAGGGAGCTCATGTCACCCACAATCCTCAGCACTATTAGCTGATTCCCCCGTTATTCTAAGAGCCAGTTCAAATTTTCCCTACTCGACTTCACTAACAGAACGCTGATACCTCCCCCTCCATGTCCTCTGAAACATTCTTTCTATTACTGGAGTGAAAGCCCCTCTCTGGTGTGGTTCTAAGGAGCCTATGGCCGATGTATTAGAGTGCCTACCATCTCTCCCTCTCACTGACGTGCCATTTTAAATCTCAGCAAAATGGTCTCTTTTCCCTTGCCTATCCCTCAGTCTCTGCTATTTATCGTTGGACCAGTTTTATTTAACTCCCAGACATTTTGGATATACTGTGTTTTAGCAATGCTGCACACAACTCTGCCCAACTCAACGCACAAACCCTACAGATAAACAGATTCAAAGTGTAATTCCGTAAGAAATGATCATTTTCCTAGAGTTCACCCAGTCCAGGGGCACAGGAGAAGGCAGTGAATCTGAGGGCGGGCAGGGCAGGCCCTGCCTCCCACAGACAGTCCCCAGCCCCCCAGATGAGGAATAGCACCGACACCAAGGGGAGCTGTAATGCTGGTTTTTAATGTCCCTAAGAACTAGGAAACAAAAATCAAAAATAGACTTTCCTTTGCTTTCTTTGATAAAAGTAATAAAACGGTTAGCGGTGTTAAATTAATCCTTAAAAAACAAAACCCAAGGAGGTTAAATAAAGCCCAGTGGGCTCTGGGTAAAAACCACAACGACTACAAAACAGCTGCAAAGACGTTTTTACACACAAAAAGAAATTCCTTTTCTCTGCTTTTCTTGTATATGGTAAACAGCTTCGGCAAACACGGAACTCGCACATGTGGAAAGGAAACATGGACGCTACGGAAACAAACCCTGCAGGGAGCCTGGTCGCCACGGACAGAACTATTTACACTCTGAACATGGAGCTGGGTTCTGTGCCCGGCCAGCAGGAAGAGCCTCTGGCCCCTGCCGGCTTTTCTCTTGGAAACGACAGGCTTCAGCCAGCTGCCAGGGACCTTCTAGGCCACAGCTCTGTCTGTCAGTCCGTCCGTCCTTCCTTCATCCGTCCCAGCTCCAGCTGCCTCTTCCTCAGAGCTTTAGTGTTTGAAGGGGCTACAGACTCTTCCTATGACTGCGACGTTTGGCTTCTTTGCCCCTCGTCTAGGGCAGCAGCCGATCTTCTTCCCACGGGGCATAAGGCGAGGGAATCTCCCTCCACTCGGGTGAGGAAAGTGGCCTTGCAGGTTTACAGAGGAAAGCAAGCAGTGTGGAGCTGCCTGAAGAGAGTCCCCCAGGCCTGGCACTACACAGCCAGCAGTCTCTCCACCTGCCACATCAAACCTCCCCTCCTCTGGAGCACTGTTCCCTTCGCCCCCTGCTGTCTGTCCCCACACACTGCTCTCTGCAGATTAATTGGCATTGGTCTCCCGGCTGGTGCTTTGCTCTCCGCCCGTCTCCCGATCTTTCTCTGCTGTCGAGGAAGAGGTGGAGGAGGAAGAGGAGGTGGAGGAGGAACCTGTGGAACTGAGGGTCCGTCCCGAGTGCTTATAGGCTGTGACGAGCTCCTGCAGCCGCTCTGGCGTGGGCTCCCACTTGGTGAAGCCTGCGTTGTTTTGTAGGAAGATGATAGCAGTGTTGTGCACGGCTTTGTAGTACATCTCCTCTCTGCAAGGGAAGACGACAGGTGCTTAGTTCTCGCTTCATGGGCCTGTCCAACCAGTCGCTCAGCTGCACCTGGATCCTCCCACACTAATGTCCTCCCCATCTCCCTTCCCTTGTGTCGTACTGAGGAACAGCCATTCTCTCTTAAAAGAAAGCCATACCGGTGAGTTAAAATTCAAAGATGCAGCACACAGCCCCTCACTTGGGAGGTATCTGTCCTGACGTGCCAATACAGCTCTATAGCTAGGACCCCACTGCGAGCTCTGTGGTGCCCACATGGGGTCAAGAGGCTTCCAAAGGAGAACCTCAGAGAATCAGTGTGTGTTACTTCCCATGGACACTACAAGGGCTGCTCTGGCTAACTACATACTGCAGTACCATTAGCTCCTGGGGAACAGGAAGATTGCAAGAAGCTCAACAAGTCAGAGAAGAGGGAACACTGTACAGATCTTGCAGCGCAGCTCCTACTCCAACATACACAGCTGGGAATTCCTACCATCCCAGCTACGAAAAATCATGTTGTCAGACATCCTGGGCCAACCAACTTGCTGCCCACCAAGCAAGCTGTTAGCCTGCCATACAGACGCCAATAGTGAAAACTGGCCCAAGCTTCTGCTTCTTTTTAACTGTTACTGAATGGCAGAGGCCACAGGACCTTGACAAGCCCAGAAAGTTACTCTGCTCAGCCAGCCGCACCTCAGACTGTATGCTGGCGAGTGGCACATGGCTCTTCTCCACAGTGCGATCTGACATACACAGGTCAGAGACATGTCCCTGAGGGAGAGGCTGACGTCAATTTTTAATAGTTGGGAAATATACACAAATACGGTGAGCCTTGATACTGTCTGTTGAGCCCAATCTGAGATGTGCTCGAGGTTCATTTTGGATACATCACTTTGCTTTTTTCTTAGCCTGTTCCATACCCCAACCAATGTCACCTCGGAGAAGGGGATTCCTGCCAAGGGCCTCTCTAAAATGCAGTACATCTCAAGAGCATCCCAACCCAGACTTGCGAGAAAGACCTACTTTTTGCAGATATGCTGAGACCCGCTGCGGTACTCATGATCGAAGGCTGGCAGGATGAGCTGGTGCCGCTTGAACTTGCTCTGCTCCATGCGGGTCAGGGCTGGTGTCGGAGGGTCCCTCCACTCAGGGATGAAGACAATGAAGGAGAGGGGCTCATTGGAGCTCTCCAGCAGTTTCTAATCCACAAGGAAAAGGAAAGAAGATTCTTATTTTTGATCAAGTAACGACAAGCACGACAGGCTCTGTGAGAAGGAAACGCACCCTTCTCTGAGACCAGCATAAGAGCTGCCCCAGTCCTCGGTGGCCTGCTGATCTGTAACCCTGCCATGGGGATGCGGGATAGCAGCAGAGGGGAGAGAGAGGACTGTCCCAGTCCAAGCACAGTGACAGGGATAAGTGAACGTACCTCAAAGTGAGAGACCATGGCATCCATCAGTTCCTCACAGAATGGAGGATTTGCCTCAAAAGAGCCACTTATGGGGATGAAATCCAGGAATGGGCTGAAGGGAACAAGGGAAAAGATCCCAGTTAGGGAGGACCAACTGTTAATTCAAACATCTTAGAAACCATCAGCATCTGTGAAAGGGCAGCCACATGCAACCTGACTTCCTAGCAGGGCAGGGCCTGCCACATTTACTTCCCCTGTGGCACAAACGGTCACCAAGGAGAGAGACTTCACCTGGGAACCTGTAGGCCGACATTCCTTGGCTCCAAGTTCACTATTTTCAATCTCTTGTTTGAGGCTCCCTCTTCCTTCAGAACGAGAGGGGCATATATCCACAGACCTAATGAACAAGCCAAATCCAGGGCCTGCAACACAGTCCTGTTCATTTCATAGCCAATCCATGCCCATATACCCTCACAACCAGGCCTGGAGTAAATCACAGAAATGTAGGCCTGGAAGGGACCCCAAAAAGTCATCAAATCCAGCCCCCTGTACTGAGGCAGGACCAAGTAAACCTAGACCATCCCTGACAGGTGTTTGTCAAACCTGTTCTTAAAAACCTCCAGTTATGAGGATTTGACAACCTCCCTTGGAAGCCAATTCCAGAGTTTAACTACACTTCGAATTAGAGCGTTTTTCCAAGTATTTAACCTAACTCTCCATGGCTGCAGATACTTCCTGTCCAAGCTCCAGTGGACATGGAGAACAATTGGTCAGCGTCGTCTATAACATTATTCACATCTGTAAAGGGCTGTTCTAAAAAGTCCCCCCTCAGTTGTTTGTTCTCAAGACTAAACAGGCCCAGTTTTTTTTAACCGTTCATCATACAACAGGATTTCTAAAACCTTTTATCATTTTTGTTGCTTGCCTCTGGACTCTCTTAAATTTGCCCACATCTTTCCTAAAGTGCGGTGCCCAGAACTGGGGACAGGACTCCAGTTGAGCCCTCACCAGTGTTGAGCAGAGCGGGACAATTACCTCCTGTGTCTTACATACGACACACCTGTTAATACGCCCCAGAAGGATATTAGCCTTTTTCACAACTGCATCACATTCCTGACTCTCATTCAATCTGTGATCCACTAGAACCTCCAGAACCTTTTCAGCAGTACTACCAGCTAGCCAGTTATTCCCCAGTTTGCAGCCGTGCATTTGATTTTTCCTTCCTAAAAGAAGTACTTTGCACTTGTTTTTACTGAATTTCATGTTGCTGAATTCAGATCAATTCTCCAATTTATCAAGCTAATTTTGAATTCTAATCCTGGCCATCCAAAGTGCTTGCCACCCCTCCCATCTTAGAGTCATCCGCAAATTTTATAAGCACATCTCCATTCCATTATCCAAGTCATTAATGAAAATATTGACTAGTACCAGACCCAGGACTGAATCCTGTGGGAACTCACTAGATACATCCTCCCAGTTTGACAGCGAACCATTGATAACTACTCTTTGAGTACAGTCCTTCAACCAGCTGTGCACCCACCTTATAGTAATTCCATCTCTAGACCACATTTCCCTGGTTTGCTTATAAGAATGTCATGTGGGGCCGTGCCAAAAGCCTTACTAAAAATCAACATATATCACGACCCACAACCAGTAGGCCAGTAATCCTGCCAAAGAAGGAAATTAGGTTGGTTTGACATGATTTGTTCTTGACAAATCTATCCTAGCTATTCCTATAGATTTGCTATTATCGTCTAATAGCCTAATTTTGACACTATTAATCAAATTGTAAGCAATCCACTGTTTCCCAGGTCCTCTTTGTTCTCCTTTTTAAAGACAGGTTCAATGTTTGCCCTTTTCTAGTCCTGTGATACCTCACTTGTCCTCCATGAGTTCTCAAAGAGAACTGCTAAAAGTTCTGAGATTGCTTCAGATTCTTTACCTTTTCTTTCCAGACTTTGGCTTGTGTTCTTCCCCTCTTGCTGTCCAGATTAACTATTTGAATATCTGGTCACCACTCATCTTTTTAAGTGACGACTGAAGCAAAATAGCAATGAACAACTCAGCCTTTTTGATGTCATCAATGAGAATTTAAGTTCAGGATAGAGTCCCCACCCCAGCCAAAAATGCACGCACATAGGTATACATATGGCAAGGGCAACAGAATGCAAGACTCACCCCCTGGATCCAAAATACCCATCTGTGTCCAGGAAGGCCGAACAGTACTGTTTAAAATAGCAGTTCAGGGGCGAGGCAAAGCATTCAAAACTCACTCCAAAGAGCTTGTGGAGGGCTTCAAAGACATGCACCGGGAGTGCCCCCTGCAGGCCAGTTCCTTCATACAGACCAACACCAAACATCATCTGAGGAGAGCAAACCCTCTGTGAGTGATTCCCATAAGAGCTGAGCACCACCATTGCTTCCCTCTCACTGCACTCTGACCCAGGGCCACATACCCCATTTCACCAGGCTGACAGCACCCCTTCTTTGCCCCACACTCTCAAGTCTCCAGTCAAGACTGCCCTCTAGACACTTCGTCCAACTGGGCCCCACCATCACACATCACCAATCACCACACATTCCTTCCTAGGAAGCTCCCCTCACCTGGAACTCAGGTTCATTTGGTAAATGTGTGCACTTCTCCAAGCTTGAGGGCTAATGTCAAGACAACATGATTGTTCCCCAGCGTAGCACCCTACCCTAAAATCTCGGAGAAAACACTGTTTTAGCCCAACTCTGCTCCACTTCTGGATCGATTGTTCATAGTTTTCTGCTGGGTTTCCCAGAGCACTGCTCACAGTGTCAGTATTACAATTCCACCAGAGCTGCCTGCTGCCCAAAAGCGGAGAAGGAACCAGTACCTGATATCTACGGAGAAGGCACCAAACCCTGGGCAGAAACCTCTCACAGCCAGAGTCGTCAATGCAACTGTACCGATAGAGAAGCCACTGGAAGAGAAACCCAGGTCATTAAAACTAGCAGTAAAGGAAGCAGGAGAGTTAGAGAGCCACAGGATGCTGACTGAAGTTATAAGGAATCAGAGATGGTGGATGCTAGTACAATCCCATCCATTGAGCGAAGCAGACACTGAGGTGATGGGAGAGGTAGAGATGTTAGAGAGTTTTGTAGCATTTTTCAGGAACTCCAACTTTTAATGTGGCACACTGCAGGCTAGACACTAGAGGGAACTTACTTTTCACCACGGACCCCACATCCAGAGTGGGGCTTGCTGTGGGGTGGGCATGTGACACAAATCGGGACCCTGGGGGCCTATTAACACCACTCTTCAGATAAGCCTCCCCACAGACAGTAGGAGCTGTCCTGACTTCAGCAGGTATTATTATTTAACACTCCTGTTGCAGTAGCAGCTAGAGGCTTCTGCCAGGTCAGGGGCCCACTGCGCTAGGCACTGGACAAACATGTAACGAAGAGCCGGCCCCGCTCCAGGTTCTTTTCTCCCTCAGGGCATGGACTGTCCCTCATTATACATTTGTGCAGGCCGATCATCTCTAATCAGATCACTGGTCCGTCGAGTCCAGCACAGGCAGCCAATAGCTGATGCTTCAAAGGCAAAAAGCTAATGAGGCACCCGGCCAACTGAGCAACGTTGCTCATATGGGGAGGGCGATTCCTTTCTGACCCCACCACTGATCAGCTAACACCCTGAAACGGGTGAACTTGTGATTTTAGTTTGCATTATTCCATGTTAGTGGTCATAAAATGACCTAGCCATGGTCCTTCACTCGGTGACCAGTAATGACACGTGTTTCACAGGATGCCTACACATGGAGGAATTGCTGCCTTTTATTGGCTCTAAATACCCTGCACTCTAAGTTTTAATGGATGGCCTTTTAACGAGTGGCCTAATACTGAAGGGCTGGGTAACAGCAGGCAATGATCAGTTTTCACTTAGACCCTTCGGCATTCGGAGCCCATAGGCCAGTCCATAAATACTTCATTGTTTGTGTAGTTCCTTGTCATACACTGAGGCCTGCTCTGGCCTCTACATTCTTCCCCCCACTCCCTGCTGGATCTCTGAATTCTCAAACTCTCTCTCAAAGTCAAGCAACCACCACTGGGCAGATTCCCCTGGCAGTGTGGAAAGAGACCAGGCTGTTTCAGAGTCCCTCTCAGACAGCAAGGAGAAGGCAGACCGCTCCCATTAAAAGGCAATTCACAAGGGTGAGTGTTTCTCTTGCTCAGCAGGACTGAAGTACAGCCCTTACCAGCTTGCTGAAGTAGTTGCGGCTCACTTTCACCATCTCCCCCTTGTACCGAACACATGCCACATTGTTCTCCACGTGCATTTCGACATTGGGGACTGGTGGGGAAGGGATGGCCAGTCTCACTGGGTAACAGTATACAAGCCGGTCCTGGACCTCTGGTGCTTCTACCTCGGCTATATGGGAGACAGAGAAAGACAGTCACATTAGAACCCAAGCACACTAAGGGGACAGGCCCCACCTCCACCCCAAAGACAGGAGTGATGGGTCTGGAGCGACGGCAGTAGGCCCCACTCCAAACACATAAGGAGACAGGACTGGGGTGGCCACATCACAGGTCAACCAGGCAGTCCACTCAGGCACCCACTTAAGAGCTGAACCTGCAGCTTACTTTAAATACTTGTTGGCCAAGTGAAGCAAGTCCCTACACTCACCTCAATGGCACTCCTCTGCCTGTAACACAATAACTCTAGACACTGTAGCCAATCAATCCCAAGATTTCAGGGAATGTTCTGGGCATCCATAGACACAAAGCTATGGCTTTTGATGTAAACTGGAACACTAGACAAGCCAGATTAAGAGGAAAATCAAGGCCCCCAGGCTGGTGCTGCAAGAAGAATCTCTCTATTGCCCCCTGCTGATGTCTACGCAGATCAGCAACAGCTGCTTAATTTGCTGTGGGGCCCAGGGAAGATTATAAACTGGAGTCTAAGGCCATGTCTACACTAACACTTATGTCAGCAAAAAACTTATTGCTCAGGGGTGGGGAAAAAAAACAAAAACAAACCCCATACCCGAGTGACTTGGCAGGAGAGCATGTCCCGCCAGCATCGCTACTGTCACTCATTGGGAGTAGTTTAATTATCCCGTCGGCATAGACCGGCTACATGGGGGACCCCACAGCAGTGCATCTGCAGCGGTACAGCTGTGCCGCATGTAAGATCACTAGTGTCGACATAGCCTAACAGAAATAAGATAGCAGGTTTGTAAGGGAGGAAGTAGGGGCCAGGAGGAGGGGATGGAGAAATGGTGGAGCGGGAAGCAGACATCTGGGAGGCATTAGAGGATACTGGCCATCTAGTCTTCAAGATGCAGGTGGAAGGTGGCGGGGAAGGAAGGAGAACCAGACAATGCTCTCCTACTGTGCTATTGTCACTTGAGCTACCACTGGACCCACCAGGTCTACCCTAATCGAACATGGCCCCTAGGATTCAGAAAGCACACCGCCCCGCACTACAACGAGTTGCATTTGACTAGGACAGGCTAGGTTGCATTCCATCATTCTGTTGTCATGTGCTGCACTGTACTGTGCCTCTTCAGCGCTTGCTGCCTACCAGATATATTGTGCTCCTTGAGGACGGCAAGATGCTTTTCCCGGATCCGCTTGACATACTCGAGCGATATGTGGTAAATCTTACTGCAGATGCCTTCAACAGAGTCCTTGGCTGCAGCAGACACATGGGGCCCACATTGCTTACGTAAGTGCTCTAGGCGGTCCTGCAGGGTCAGAGAGAGAGAGGCCCTTACACACCACCATCACCACCTCTCCACCAGCCTTTCACCAAATTCACACGGGCTTCTAACAAGGTGTCTCAGACTCACAGATCGTACCCATTCTTGGCCCCGTGCGGTGTGTGGGGGTGCCCCTTTCACTGCGACAGTCCTTCTCCTGGGGGTCCACTCTCTCTCGGGGTTACGCTCCTCCCCCCCCCCCCAAGGCTCTCTCCTCTGTACGGACAAGGCCTTTGTCTGCAGCCATATTAGGAGAGCAGCAGACATTAGCCAAGAAGCAGAAAGTCACATCCTCACATTCCATCTAAATGGCCTCAAATCAATGTAATACCGGGCTGCTAAGAAGGCTCCTGTCCTAATAGCGCCACCATCACCAGATACAGAAACAGAGCTTCAGATGGTTACAGAAAACTTGGTTTGATGGCGTTCTGTCGGGCAAGAAATCACTTAACAGTTGTGATTGTAAAATCTATACTTTATTGTTTTGCCTTTTGGCCCCTATTTCTCTGGTTTAATCTGTATGGTCTGTGTCTAGTTCTTTGATATGTTAGGATTGGTTAGAAAATTGTTTAGTAATATTTTAGTAAAATGAGCAACTCCGGGACACAGTCCCAAGATCAGCTGCCAGACCTCAACACGCTGCCAACCACCACACCGTGCAGAAGCTGGAGTCCCTTAGATGGCCTGATCCTGACTGGCCATCATCTGCCTTATTGGGAGTGGTGAGCACTGTCTGCATAGCGGGTGCATTCTATTTTGGTGACTGTTAATAAATAGAGGTTAAGCAGGATATTACCGTGTAAGGCTCTTTCACTGGTAATAGACCCTGCAAACCCACAGACTGCAGGGTTACACCAGAGCCCTAGGAACAGGGTAAGGGTGAGTGCCCCTAGAGTATGTGAGTAACAGAGAATTTTGTGCAGGTAACACTTCTATCTCACAAAGCAGCTGTAAGTGAGAAGACAACCACAAACTATCCAACAAGGGGCTTTTCCTTGCCCTCTACCTTTTCTTCAATTCAGTGCATTCAGTTGTACCGAGCTGGAAAGGGGATACTGACCATGTAGTCCTCCTTAGAGGCTGAATGGTCCCGTCGCAGCCAGCTGAAGGTGTCCTCCACATTCCATTTCACAACTTTCCTACTGTCTGGTGACGCACTCCTGCACACAATGGGGAAATAGGAATTTACCCCACAGCTGCTGTGACATGTCCCTTCCCAACACAGGCCCCCCTATCAGTGGGGGAAATGTGGCAGCCGTGTCTTCCACAATGCAGTGCCCTCTCACTGCCATCCAGGATTCCTGTGGGCAGTTTCTCAGATGCCTGCCTGATCAGGACCTGCCATGCTGTCTCCAAGACAATGTAGATGGCTGCTCTCCTCTCTGCAACAGGAGAGGTAAGTAAAGGAATTGTCCTAACTGACTAATAGTCCTTTCATCTCCAAAGGTGTCCACTACTGGAAGCTTCAAGGAAAGGCATAAAATCCTCCACTCCCCAATGAACTAAAACTAAATCAATGGGAGCTGCAACCTTCTACCACAGGGGTCCCCAACGCGGTGCCCGCAGGCCCCATGGCACCTGCTGGGGCATCTAAGAGCACCAGCATACTGGCCGACGGACAAGCATCCGCCGAAATGCCGCTGAGAAGCAGCGTCATCCAGAGGCGTCGCCGCCGAAATGCCGCCGATTTTCGGTGGCATTTTGGCGGTGATGCCTCTAGATGACGCTGCTTCTTGGTGGCATTTCGGCAGCGACGCCTATTGATGTTGCCGCTTGTCAGCGGCATTTCGGCGGATGCTCATCCGCCGCCATGGTCCTCCGTGGCTCGTCTGGCACCCGCCAGACGAAAAAGATTGGGGACCACTGTTCTACCATGTCTGGACTGGACTATCTGTATAGGGTTTAAATTTTGAGCTCCTTGGGGCAGGGCTCTGCCTTGCTTCAGCCACCAATGCTGCTCAATGAAAAGTAATATGGCATCTCACTGTGCCATTCTGTACCTCAGCCAGGAATTTGTTCTTTCTTCCTGATCCTGAAGTATCTTTAGCTCTTATCATTTTTAACCTAACTTGTGCACATACTATCCTCATTAATAGAAAGCCTAGCAAAAATAAAGGATTGACCTATTTGTCGCAATACTATCCTGTAATGGAGAGTTCCACAGAGCATTCACACGCTGTGTAATATTACCTTTTATCCATTTTAAATTGGTTGCCTTTTCCTACCATAGGTGCTACTGTTCTTGTCTTATCACAAGGATACACAGCACCCAGTTGGCCTTCTCTGTGCCAGGCATTTCACAGATTCTCACTATCTCAATAGCATAAATCTTTCCAAACTCATGCCCTACTGATCTGCTCCCCCCAGGATGCTGCCGATCATTTTCATTGCCTTTCTTGGGGGTCTTTTCTAGTCCTGCTTCGTTCTTACTGAGAAGAGGTGACCAATACTGAGAAGAATTCAAGGTGGGGATGCAACTGCCACTTCTAGAAAGGCTTTAGAATATTCTCTGCTCTCAGAAGCTAATAATACAAACTGCAAGAGACAATCCCAACCTGGATTCAATAAGCCGTTTCGCAGCCTCGGCATATTTGAATAGCAGTCGCTTGGCTTCCTCACGGAACTTGATTCGGGATAATCTGAAACAAATACAAATACACACGTATCCCAGTCAGCTCCCAGTTACCACGCCGAGCAGGAAGCATCAGGGCCAGCTCCCACCCTTCACTCAAGCTTGCTGCTTCTCCACTGGGGAAAGTGAAACTCAGCAGTAAAAAATCCCCTAAGAACAGAAACGCCACAGGTGCACTTTGCTTGAGCAGTACCTGATGGGAATGTCATTCATGATTTCTCTGAACATGGAAGGAGAGACTACTGGCTCACAGTTGCTTGGTAACAGAGGGTCTGTCCCTTTATCCACTACCTTCCGCTCCAACATCCAGCGATTAAATGATTCCCGTGGAGGGTCAATCCCTAGAGGAAAAGAAAAAAAGTTTGCTTATTACTATTTAATATTAGTATTATGGTTAGGGCCCTACCAAATTCACAGCCATGAAAAACGCGTCACGGACTGTCAAATCTGGTCTTCCCCCAATGAAATCTAGTCTTTTGTGTACTTTTACCCTATACTATACAGATTTCACGTGGGAGACCAGCATTTCTCAAATTGGGGGAGCTGACCCAAAAGGGTGTGGTGGGGGGTGCCGCAGGGTTATTTTAGTGGGGTTGCGGTATTGCCACCCTTACTTCTGCACTGCTTTCAGAGCTGGGTGGCTGGCGAGCGGCGGCTGTTGGCCGGGCACCCAGCTCTGAAAACAGTGCCCCAACAGCAGCAGCGCAGAAGCAAGGGTGGCAATATCACAACATGCCATCCTTACTTCTGCCTTCAGAGCTGGGCTCCTGGCCAGCTGCCACCGCTCTCGTGCTGCCCAGCTCTGAAGGCAGCGCCGCCACCAGCAGCAGCACAGAAGTAAGGGTAGCAGTACCGCAACCCCCCTACAATAACCTTGCGACTGCCCCCACAACTCCTTTTTGGGTCAGGACTCCTACAATTACAACGCACTGAAATTTCAGATTTAAATAGCAGAAATCATGAAATTTTGATTTTTAAAATCCTCCGGCCATGAAATTGACCAAAATGGACCATGAATTTGGTAGAGCCCTAATTATGGCACTGCCCAGATGCTTGGATCAGGGTCTCATCCTGCTGCGTGCAAGCTCTGCTTGAGGAGTCTACAATCTTATGCTCTTTGACACAATTTTAGAGAGCCACATAAGGAAGGCAAAGAACAGGGAAGAGGAGAGACAGACTAGAGGGGCAGATGAAGATGAGACAGAAGGAAGGAAAACAAGGCACTGCAGTGGTAGGGGAAAGAGAGAGAGAGAGAGAGAGACAAGAATTTACCCTCTCGCTGCTGGCAGAGTTCCCGGTAATGCTGCCGCAGCTTCAGTATGAGCTGGGATCGAAGCAGTTCCACCTCGGGGTGCAGAGGCAGCACTTCAGAGGGTGCCCTTTGCTTAATCACTGCATTTGTTTGGATATCCAGGTCCCAGTATACTCTGCGGCAGAAGGAACGGTCGTCAGGATGGTCAGATATTTAACCAATTGTCTCCCCTTAAAGAAGTCACCTTGGGACGTACCAGCAGTCGGAAGACTGAACCACCCAGACTTCCCCAACCTGGAGCCTGCCAAGTTCCCCTTCACAGGCATGGGGGAAGTCTGCTGTCCCCAACTTGGTAACAAGGAAAGAGCAGAAGCAAAGAGGAGACAACTCACTCAGTTGGTCGTAAAAGAGCTGCCTGTTGTTTATCTTCGGGTGTAATACCACACAACTTTAAAATAGGGGTTCCCGGAATACTGGGAGAACTGGGGACTGGCTGGGCAGTAGGGGTCGCTGGAACATCCACCTGAGAGTGAGAAATGCCAGTCATTACCCTAGAAAATAAGGCACTGGGGCACCATGCCGATTATCCCCCAAATCACTCCCTCAACAGTGCAGAACTCAGGATGCCCAGCTGATGGCTAGAGACAGAGTATGTTCACGTTGCCTCTGGCATACACAAATATGGGCACCTACATTACCCCGTTGTTCAGTCATAGCCCAGCTCCCAGCACAGAGGCACACACAATTCCTTCACCGCCACAAGTACAATAACTATTGGGCATAGGTCTGAGTCCGATTTTCCTGTTCTTTGGGTGCCAAGCGACATGGGGCTGAGTTACTAGACAGTAACTGGGGCTGTCCTCTGACCTTGAACAGTTCAGGTGACTCTGAGATCAAGTTCCAGGCCCCCTTGATTTCGGTTTCTAATACAAGTCTCACCCATGGAAGGAAGGGACACACAGTGAAGACAGTGCCTTTGTACAGCCATTCCTTTAGGGTTACTTACTCTGTGCCACTCTAGGAATTTTCCTGTCACAGCGCCGCGACCACCACTTTGTAAAACTCTTCTGAACAGAAACGTTAACTCTTAACATCAGCAACAACTGAACATCTTTCACTTGAACACAATGATCTCAAAGCTTACCTTCAGCTTATCCTCCCATCGTATTCCTATCCTTAGTCCTCCCATTTACTCAATCCTCAGAGAATGTTGCAATTCACAGAGATTCACTCACAGATTCTTGGCTGTAAAGTCCTCCAGGACACCTCCCTGACAGGTTCTCTTTCACAGCCCAGTCACCATCTCACAAAAACAACAGCTAGGAAGATTCTTCTCTTTGCCAACTGGTTTGTGCTTGCTAATGCTCCCAGATTCAGCTGCTGCAGTTTTGATCAACAGCAGCAAGATTTGTGTGCTCTCTCTCTCACCTTGGCCTGTGCTTTTCAGCCCTCATCACCTCCCTCAAACGAATGCCTCACTCTCTTGGGACACAGCCTCCCATCTGCTGTGCACTACGGAATCGGATATTTTTGGCCTTTCATTACTGGAAGCACCTTTCAGTTGACTTCCTGGTTTGGTAGGAGTGGTTACTTTCAGGCTGGTTTGACAGGAAACCTTCCCTTTAGAGGCACAGCATGCAAGGCCAGAAACAACCACCAGATCATCCAGTCTGACCACCTGTACATCGCAGGCCACCAACACCAGTCAGCACCCACACACTAACCCAGGAACCAAAATTCGATTAAAGTATCACAGCCCACAGGAGACCAGACTGTTCTGTGCACGGGGAAAGAATAGGAGGGAACTAGGGGCACAAGTGCCCCAGGCCTCTGCAATGGCTTAGAAATGATTAAGTGAGATATATCCAGATAATCCTGGCAAGTGACCCACACCCACATGTTTCAGAAAAAGGCGAACTACCCCTCCCCAAGATCACTGCTAACATGACTAGAGGGAAAATTCCTTCCCAATGCCACATATGGGGATCAGTTAGATCCTGAGCATGCCCCTCGCAGGCCCAGCAGGCTGATACACACGGCTCTGCCCACTTGCTGCACTGTACTTAGACACATTATCTGTGGTATGAGACAGTCAGAAATTTGGAGTCATCCTGTCACCTTAATCCCTTTTGTAAGCGTTTCTCTGCTCCCCAGGCATTCAGCAGCCTTAGCCCAGTGCAGACTGCCTCAGTTCCACTCCCTTTTCCCTCAGCAACCCAGGTTTTTCCTCAATATTCAAAATGTGTCGCCACAGAATCTTCAGTTCTTGTAGGAGCTTCCATGAGTAACTCAGCTCTGTCATCTGCTGGCCAATTCTTTAGTAGCCGCCCTCCTTCTGTCTAATCTTAAACTATATTTGACATTAATTCTAGTGTTTAGTCCAACCTGGATGTGCTTAAGGACACCTTACAGAGAACTAGGACCCACCTTAGCTTTCTTCACGCTGTTACCACTGGGCTGAACTTCCTCAGAGAGTCTCCTCTTCCTTGGCTTGCTCTCCGGAGTGGTTTCCAACACTCCTCCTTCCGCAGGCATTGGAGCAGCATTCAATCCCAGAGGATCCGACTAAGAGGATAGTTACAACAAGAATCATTAGTTCACAAGCCTTCCACAACTCCAACTGGAGAGAACAAGCTCTCGTCTTCCCCATTTCATTGCCCCAATCTCTCAAGTGGAGAGAAACTGGGGCATTATAGGTTGACACATGAAGAGAGTAGGTAATTCCAGCAGTGTCCCCACCCCAAAAAGAGAAATGCCTAGCCAAGGCCAGAAAAGACACCTGTAGCAGGGTAAGCTGCTTCCCCACAGTGTCCTGCCAGTACCAGACACCTTCATCCCAAGAGAGGAGCAGACCCTCAGAAGAGGAGCTCTCTCTCTATAATACCACTCCAACAGGAGTGCCATATAAATCCCAGTAGGGCATCCCTGCACCACTATGACCACCTGAGGCAAACAGTTACTCACAATGACATCGTGCTGTCCCAGGACAGGCATCTCCCACAGTGACTGGTTGGTGAAACGGTTGAAGTAGTAAGGGCGATTCTCCCGTTTGCTCCAGCACTTCTCCCAGCCAGCCTGCACCAGCTCATCTAGGAGACAGGAAAAGTATCAGCACAAGAGCAGCCCTGGACAGCAACCCTGCTGCTCCAGTCCCCATCACTGTCACAGCACATGCTAAACTAGGGGTGGGGGGCTGGGAAGGGGGAAATATCATCCCAAAATCCCCTCTACCGCTCCGAGAGGCTCCTTACCCTAAACTTTCTCCTCTCCCTCTCTGCTGCCACAGGGCTCCAGAATCATATCCCTGACCCCCTAAACAGCAGAACAAGTACCTGGCAGGTCCTGCACCAGTCGGATGGGTTTCGGGGAGCTGGGCTGGTTCTGGTTAGAGGTACCAGGTGAGTGACTCATCAGAGAAGCTTCCTCCCCAGGGCTACCGTGATTCTCATTGGCCATTTCTCAGAACATGCACTAGAGAAAATATACACAAACAGCACATCAAAATATGATTTGTGCAAGGCTGGCCCTGTGCCCAGAGCCAGATCAACAGCTTAGCTCTAGCAATACAATCCTGTATCAGCAACAACAGAGGGCTTGAAACGGGGTGGGGAGCACCTGACTCCACGGCAGAACGCTGTTACAGATGGCTGTTAACCTAATTACACACTGATTAATAGGAACTTTTAACTCTGAACAGCACACAAGAGGGGAATCACTTAGCAGCATTAAAAAACACACAACTTACAACTAGACCTCATCAGAAAGGTCAAGTGTCTGATACCCTACTGGCCTACCTGGAAGAGAAACCACTTCTCACCTGAGAACATATGCAGCCCTCCCCTATCTCAACCATACCAGGAACAGAGTGCACCCTCATCTGCTCCCGTAATCTTTATAAGATAGCATTGGCTTAAAACAATACATACACACACAAACTTTGTTAGCTTTAAACTTGAGGCATCTATTAAACATTCAAGTACTACATAAAATAACTCCAGTGCTCTTAGAAAAACAACCTGTGAGATCCACAAGCAAACACAGGCTGGGAGGCAAGAACTCCTTGGTCCTGTCACTGACTTGCTCCAGGGCTTTGAACAAGCTACCGCACCTCTCTGTACTTCAATTTCTTGAGCTGCAAAATGGGGGTGACACTCCTATCTCTATCCACAAAAGGGAACGTGGAGGTTAATTAGGTCATACTGCTAAAGCATCCTGTAAGTATTATTAAATGTTGTCAGTTGGAGAGACAGGCTCTTCTCTTCTCAGTCAACCCTCCCTGTGAAGCGATCAAAACACTTGTCCTGGGTCAAGTATCAGAGATGGCTTCTCTATCAAACCTAAACATGCTGGCTCTACAGTGAAGCAAGGAAAAAGGGATGAATGTTAAGGAGTTTTCAGCAGTTACCCCCTTTTTCCAACTCCAACTGGGCAGGTGCCTTTGTATTTCACCACCCTTCTGTCCCCCCCCCAATTCAGTATCTAAGACAGTGGCACCTCTTTGCCATTAAAGAAGTTTATTTAAGTGGCACTAATATAAAATAATAGTGCAAAGTGGCCATGCTCTCATCTTTCATCTATAGAGATCCATGTTAAAATCCTGGGTCACGTGATAAATCTGGTGGTCACTCAGTCTACTCCCTTCCTGCACATTTCACAACAGGCAGTACGTTCAGCAGAAGTGGAATAGAAGGAAGTTCTATGAATCAGGAATGAGCACTGGCTGCCTGTGGTGCTAACTACAAAAGGAGAATGTGGTGCAGGTCAGAACTGAAGTGTATTGGTAGGCATGCCTGGCGGGGGAGGTGCCACAAAGAGGGAACCACCCTCCTTCCTTCTCCCAGTAAAGGCAATATAGTGGGTTAATGGAAGTGTGCAGGTCTTCTAGAAGTCTTGATTCTCCAGAGCCAGGCAAGAGACAAGCCCACAGCTGAAAGGCTGTATATTATCCGAGAGCACCTATTAGCCTGCACCACAACATACAAATATTTGTACCCTTCAGCAAGTGGAGAAGTTCTATTAATTTTGCATATCTGTGCTGTTTCCTCCACTCTAACCCCAGGGTGACCTCTACAGTCATCCTAACCAGGAGTGAGCAGAGGCTGCAAAACTGGAAAAGCAACAGTTCAGCTCCGCGCTAAAGTCACTTTCATGCACCAGCCCATAGTTGGAATCTGTGTTTCACAGGGCGCCGGCCTCACAAGCTTCATTGCATCGTCCATTACATTAATCACCCATCTTGTCTGACTTCTAAAAGCTTTTAATCCTTCCTCTTTAGAAAAATATGTAAAAGACCCAAGCCTATGCTTATTCAATAGGATTGCTGGTGTGTCCTCGGTTATAGATTGTGTGCATTATACTTAAATGTAGTGGGGTAAGGCCCAAAATAAACCAGGTGTGGACTTCAAGAAGCTACAGCTATTTACAGGCTACAAAGTGTTCAATAAAATGACAGAAGTTGGTGCAAGGTTTGAAATGTGGCGTATATAATATTTAGCTAATGCTTTTCATCCATAGAGTTTAAAGTACTTAACAAATGAAGTGCTATCTCCATTTACAGACAGGAAAATGGAAGCAGAGAGAGTGATTCTTCCCAACTCACTGAAGAAAGTGTGGCTGAGTAGACTATAAACCCAGGTCCCTTATACCCAGTCCCCTTCTCTCTCCAGTGGACCATGCTGATGGGAATATTTGGAGGAGCACTTTGGCCTGTATCTCACCGATGCTTGGACTTAAAATGGATCCAAAATAACCATTATATATTGGTTATGTTATCAGTGTTGTGTACAGTACTTTACAGACATAAGATCTGGTCCCTGCCCCAAAGACTTATAACCTGGAAGTGGTAACTACCAAAACAGAGTACAGTAAGGTGGAAGAAGACACACAGCAAGGGAGTACAGCCAGAAGGAGCATGATTTGTTCCACTTCATCAATAGGGGATTTTACATGTTTCGCTCTATAATCAGACAGGAGGGATGCAACCATTAGGAATGAGCAGCAGAGGGGGGAGAAATTTTGGAGATATTTCCTGTCATCCCAAAGGCAGGGCTGCTCGCTGGGGCTGGGAAAGTCGAACACCATCACAACTCATCCCTGCACTGCTTTTGGGTGTCAGTCTGGCCGCACAGCCCATGGAACTGTAGTTGCTCAATACCAGAGTGTGTACCTCCTGGCCCCCGGGCTATTTCTATTGAGAACGACACTGACAAACTAATGATTTGGTTGTTGTTTTTAATGGGTAACACATGGGAAGGTCATTGGCAAGAAGCAGAAGAATGCGCTTGTGTTAACTCACATGAACATCAAACAGAAATGACACGAGCCTAACGTACAGTCTGAAAGGGCCCGTTACAGCCAGGGGCAGTGCGCGCCGGCGGCGCGGCTGGTGCAGGGTCAGGCGGCGGCGGAGGCGGCGATACCCGGAGGCGGAGGCAGCAGGCTGGAGATCCCGCGCTCGGAGGCGCCGTCCCTCGCCGGCCAGGACACGCGGAGCAGCAGGGCCCGGCTCCCCGCTGCCGGGCGGCGTCCAGCCGGGCCGGGGTCGCGGAGCTCCGTGGGCGCCGCCGAGCTACTTACAATTGCGGGTTGGGTCGCGGGCCTCGCGCTCCTCTCCAGCGACGCCGTGCGCTGCGCGGGGCTGCGGCCGCATCTTCACAGCGGGCGGGGGCGCGCCTGGCCCGCGGCGGGCGCTACGGGG